CGCAAAATCATTCCCTTAAAAACACGAGCCGTTTGGACGCCATTCGAGACATTCATCCGTCGGTTAGAGTTATTGAGAGACACATCGAGAATGTGTTCCAACACTGGAGACAACGGATAGGAATTCCTAAAAAGGATGACTCGAAAGCACTGATACGTCCTGTGATTTTGCGTAAAAGACGCGAACGCGTGAAGTCGACCTCTAATTGGGATTTATTGTACTACCAGTTCCTCAAAGATCACTCCAAACCGGATCTCATCTGGAATTACAAGACTAGAGAAGAATTGCGCGATTCGTTGGAGAATGAGATGAGAATATTCGTGTCCGACAAAGAGTTGTGCGGAAATCAGTCCATCTCTTGGAATCACAACGAATTCGAAGTCCAATACCCCTCTCTTAACGAAGAGATCAAAATCGGTTTCTATTACCTGAGACTACTTCTCGAAGAGGACAGCGCCAGCGGTGAAACCAATCTCACCGACAGACTCTTCATTAAGAATCCCAACGAGTTCTTCAGTGATCTCTACCATCGGTTCTTATTGACCACAAAGTCAACGATGAAAGGCTGTTGTCTTCAGGCGATGTCTATAGTCTACTGCGCGTACAGCGAAGATATCGGTGCCTTCAATGACACAAAGTTTATAGTCTCGATGCTGGAGAGGACTTCCGATAAGACAGAAAGGGATCGACTCTTGATTTTCATATCAAAACTTATTGTCAACAAACGTAACGCCAAAGAATTCGTGGACTCTGGAGGTGTTCGAGTTTTGATCGATTTGCTCACATTAGCACACCTTCACATCAATAGGGCTACTGTTCCCACACAAACCAATGTGATCGAAGCGTCGCCAGAGATCATGGCTATGGGCTCATCAGAGAAGGAGTGGTATATCGGGGACGCGGAACGCGAAAAGAAGGGTCCCTTCAGTTTTGCTGAGATTAAAGAACTTTGGGCTAAGAATACAGTGATTAGTCCGAAGACAAAGTGTTGGGCCCAGGGGTTGGAGGGCTGGAAACCGTTGATACACATCCCGCAACTCAAGTGGACACTAATCGCATCGAATAATCCGATTCTGAATGAAAGCGAACTCTCAATACTTATACTAAACATTTTGATCAAAATCTGTGAATTATATCCGAGTCGTGACGGCGACAACGCTATCGTCCGACCGCTGCCTAAAGTGAAGCGAATTCTGTCCGAAGGGACAGTTTTGCCACACATTGTCCAACTGTTGCTGACCTTTGACCCGACAATTGTCGAACGAGTGGCCACATTGTTATCGCTGGTAATGCAGGACAACCCACTGCTGCCCCGACTCTACCAAACGGGACTCTTTTACTTCATCCTAATGTACACCGGATCTAATCTGTTGCCAATCGGACGTCTCCTACACATCAGTCACGGGGTGCAGGCGTTCAAAGCGGACGACAGCTCAGCCAACGCGTCGATTCTGCAGCGCTCGGTATTGGGACAGCTGTTGCCCGAAGCCATGATCTGCTACCTCGAGAACTACGGCCCCGAAAAGTTCGCGCAAATATTTTTGGGTGAATTCGATACCCCGGAAGCCATTTGGAGTACAGAAATGAGACGACTTATGATCGAAAAGATTGCTTCACATATCGCCGACTTTAGTCCCAGACTCCGGTCCAATACCCGGGCGTTGTATCAATACCTACCGATACCTCCCATACAATACCCTCAGCTCGAGTTCGAGCTCTTCTGTAATATATATTACTTGAAAAACTTATGTGATATCCAACGGTTCCCCGAGTGGACCATCAAAGACCCGGTGCAGCTCTTGCGGGATGTGCTCGACCTCTGGAAAGTGGAGATCGAGAAGAAACCCAACTCTATGTCCGTTGAGGACGCGTTCGCAGTGTTAGGTTTGGGTCGACTGCAGGCCGAGGGCCAGGAATTTGACGAGAACTCCATCCGGAAGGCATACTTCAAATTGGCCCAAAAGTATCATCCGGATAAGAACCCGGAGGGCAGGGATCGGTTCGAGGAAGTGAACAAAGCATATGAGTTCCTGTGCAGCAAAAGTGCACGTAATAAGTGCAACGGACCCGACCCTCAGAACATTACTCTTATACTGAAAGCCCAGTCCATTCTCTTCAGCCGCTACTCCGAGCCCTTACATCCATACAAATACTCGGGATATCCGATGCTTATAAAGACACTGCAATTGGAGACATACGACGAACAGCTCTTCTCGAAGCCGTACCCACTGTTGCCCAACGCCTGCGAAACAGCCTTTTATACCGTCAACTGTTCGGCGCTCAACGCTGAAGAGCTTCGACGCAACGGCGGACTCGAGATTCTTCGCGACGCCTTCACTCGGTGTGTGTCCGTACTGTCGGCCTCTTCCAAGTTGACAGACGTCTCAGTGGAGGTATGCGTTCACATCGTCCGGTGCTTTACAGTGAGCGCGTCGTTCCCGGCCTGTCGTCAGAGGCTGTCGGAGATGCCGTCCGTCACCAAAGATCTCTGTCGTATACTTTATTACAGAAATGTGACGAAACTGTGTTTATGGGCCGTCGACTGTGTGGCCGCCTTCTCGGCCGACCCCAACCTTCAGCTCCAACTCTTCAAATCGGGCGCTCTCTTCAGTCTATTATTGTTTTTATTCAAATACGACTTCACGTTAGAAGAGGGAGGCGTCGAGTCGAGCGAGGAGTCTAACCAACAGGAAGTGGCGAACCAATTGGCGAAATCAAGTTTAGTGGGCGCCGCCCGACTCGCCGAAGACCTGTCCTCCAAGACTGAAGGCCTCGACTCGCAGTTATATCCGTTGATACGCCGATCGACGCTCTGTCTGTTGACCCCGTATTTGGTGCGACAGTTGGGACTCACGAGTACTACCGATGTACTGAAGACGTTGAATAGTAATATCGAGAACCCGTACCTCATTTGGGATAACTCTACCAGAGCTGAGCTCACAGACTACTTGGAGACACAACAAAGGGAGACAATGAGAAGCGGCGAATGTCCCGATCCTTCCTATGGCTCCACATTTGAGTTCTCCAGTCATAAGGAAGAGCTGATTGTCGGCGAGATATTTGTCCGCATATACAACGAACAGCCAATGTTTCCCTTAGAAAACGCCAAAGGATTCACAATCGATTTGATCGACTACTTGGGCTCTCAGGCCCAGTACCTCCAGTCGGCGCTTAATCTGGTGTCAAACTCTACGGGAAGTGTAAACAGCGATCGCATGAATAACATTAAGATGTGTTTATTAGCTCTCAATAACGTTATCGTTCACAACAACGGCGTTGAGTTGCAATGCATCGGACACTTCAAACTGTTGTTCAGTTTACTCCGTTTGGATCAGATGTCAGACCTGCAGACACAGGCCGTCAACGTGATCGCCAGTGTCTCCGGCAATCAGGAGTGCGTTCAGGACATCGCGTCATCCGAAGTGTTGGTCTATTTACTAATGGTTTTGCGTCCGACTCAACAAACCACTGAGTTTGCCAAACAGTTGGCCGTATTGACAGCACTAACACCTCTTATGTTTAACACACGACTCATTAAAGAGGCGCTAAGTAAGGGTGCGATCCTATATCTACTCACTCTATACACCAGTTCCACGAATTTCGAGGTCAGAGAGAAGTCGGCAGAACTGTTGTCCAAAATGACGAGCGATAAGCTGAATGGACCCCGAATTAAGTTAGTTTTGACCAAATTCTTGCCCTCACTATTCATCGACGCCATGAAAGACTCGCCCCAAACATCTGTCCATCTGTTTGACGGCACCCAAGAGAACCCGGAGCTTATATGGAACGACTCCGCCCGCGATTGTGTCTCTCAGACACTGAACCGAATGTGCGAACAGTTATACAACGAGCAGACGAACAACCCGTCCTCTGTCTGGAAGATTGACAACGATTTTGAGGTGAAACTGCCCGTCGGTTTCGGCGAATTCGTCATCGCAGGGGTTTATCTGCGGCTATACGTTCAGAACCCCAGTTGGGTTGTCCGTAAGCCCAGGGAATTCCTCACAGAGTTGTTGGACAGCGCGAAGATTCTGATGGAAAAGGAGGAGTCCACTCAGGTATGTGTCCACTCGTTATCCATTTCATCGTATAATTGTTGACATGAAATGCCAATTGTTTTCAATGATAGGTCGATAAGTTAGATCTCGTGACACACGCCGTCACCTGTCTATTGCAGGCGCAGACGGCACTCCTGGACTCGGTTCCAGCCATGGGTCACATCCAGTCATTTGTTAATAACTTATCGAATCGACGCCACGAATGCATTCCTCGAAGTTGTCTTCATATTCTACGACAATTCACGGAAAACCGGACGTGTATTGAGTCGATGATTGGCTGCAAGTATCTGTTGACACAAATATTCTTCGTCATCAAAACATATGAGACATTAACGGACATCTCGTGCGAGACGTTGAGTAAATTGTTTCAAATCGATACCATCGATGAATTGGTGAATCAGGCGATTAAGACTGAGCTGATTCACCATCTGTTGAAACTGTTGGACTCCAACCAATCACAACACACGAGTTCAACGAAAGCACAAGTCGTCCAAATACTGAAGCATATGCTGAAGAGCGGCGCTTATGGACAACAAGTGAACGAACTTTTGGACAAATCGATGGTTTGGTCCGAATTTAGGGATCAAAAGCACGACTTATTTATTAGTAACTCTCAAATCGCTGGATATCTAACCGGTAATGCATTGTAATATCATATACAAGATCATTATGACAAATGCTATGATTATGATCTCAAATAACGGTTCGCTTATTTTATACCGTAATTATAGGTCCAACCGTTCAAACGGCCGGTTACCTGACACAGGGCTCATCAGTGAACGCCATGCCATCCTCTCCGCCACCCCTTTAAAAGCAATCAATTACTCTCTGAAAGCCTTTTTCTAATTCTTTTAAAAACACTGTATTTTAAGCGCCGTTTATCGCGAAATTGTATGAAAGCTGTTATTAAGAAAATTATCTCTCCTTTTAATATATTTATAAATAATATATATATTTGTTATTTAATAAATTGATTATTATATTTATAATTAAATTGCAAATACTATTATTTTAATTATAATTATTATCACATATAAGTACCGATTGGACTCTACTCTGTAAAAGAGTAACTTTTATATTATTTATTGAACATTGAATAAATATTATTTTGTTTTATTTTCACTTTTTAATAATAGTTTTTATTTGAAAGAATATTCCGATTGTTTTGAAAAGAATAGCCTATAATATAGAGTCTAAATAACAAACAATAGGCAAAGAGTTTAGGAAAGTGTTTTGCACGAAAAGAATGGCATAAGAATTGCCTAAATATTGCTGTTCACTGCTTACTATCACCTAAAGAATTGCTTGCATTATAATTAAGTAAAAGTGTTTTAATCGACTCGTTATAACACACGGTTCGTCTCAAACGATTGATTTGGAAAAAGATAAGGTTTTGTGTTTAGTTGTAATTCTGTTCAAAAGGTTTAGGAATTATAAGATTTCTTAGTTTTTCTGACCTCTAATATAGTGAAAGAATTTATGAACTGTTAAACTAATAGAGATGAAAATGATGTGACTGTTGGTGTACATCACTTGCGCCTATAATTTAACAACGAGTTCATCAAATAAATTCTCGATTATCTGTTCACACAAACCAATCCTAACGACAGTAAAGTCTTTCAGTACTTGTTATTACATTCACTAAACGAGTCATTAATTGTTGTGCGAAACAAATCGCTGCACAAAATATGTCAAACTTTCTAGGATTCAAGCTTTTTATTGGTTTTTATGTAATATAAAAGCGATATTAATAAAAATATTTGTGTTGCTGAAAAAATGTCAAATAATATATACACAACACAATAACAAAGGAATGGTAGGTTTTGTGATAACAAAATCGATAGAGTCGTCAGGAATCTCATAATTATTTATCGTTTAGTCCTCTGTATTGCATCACATGAATGAATGACCAAAACTATAGCCACAAACCTCTGTGGCGTTCAATTCATGCGTAAAAAAGACTGCAATTTATTAGTAATTAATTGCATCCAAACTATTGTTTAATTGCATTCATTCAATAAAAAGGACATTCTTTGCGGACATTTAAGACATTGTGTTTACCATCTCTTTTGATGGATTCAATTCCCGGTCTCATAGACTCAGTCTTTTGCTTCTTTTACGACTCTCTCTCTCTCTCTCTCTCTCTCTGTCTCTCTCTCTCTCTCTCTCATGCTGTCCGTACGTATCAAATCAAATTGAATGTACTCTAAAAGTAGTGAAAGAGTATATATCGCTGACAGTGAGAGCGCATACCATTAAGCAGACTCTGTGCGGATGAACCGTTTTTTCGCCTAAACTCTCAACTCATTTACGAAACAGAGTTTTGACACAAATTTGCCAAAAAGTTGTGTTCTGCACAAAATTTCTGCACGAATTGGCCTCTCATTGGGAGAAAAAAAGAAATTTTCTGATTGTTTGCTAGTTTTTTTGAATATTTATATTTAAAGAACTCATTAGAATTAGATGTGTGTTAAGGGGAAAGTGGTCTCACAATGAATTATAGCGGAACGACATCTTCCGCACCGCCGACTTCGCACAAACTCAAGAAGAAGGACTTGAAGAATCTCGACGACGCCTTTCTGGTATGTCTCACAAACTCATCATTAAGTTCTGTTAATTGATCTCAAAATATAAACTTTTAGTAAACTTTAAACTAAAAACTAAAAACTGTTCAAATTATAACACTATTAAATACACCATAAAATCTCAAACATTATTGAATTACTTAATAAAGTTCCTAAACGTGATATAGAGCTTTGATTAATTACTGTCGTATGTCGGGTCAGTTATCTCTATAAGTAAATTTACTTTTACTTATAGTGCTTCCAGTAATAATTTTTTAATGTTTTTTAATGTTTTAAGTTGCTAACAGTAAACGATATAGTTTATAATTAAATTTGTTTGAAAATTTTAACCATATAACTTAATACTGTACTGTAAATACTGAAAAGTTTAAATACTGTGTTCACTCTGATAGAGTTGTTTAAATTTGGTTTTTATTATAAAAACTAAATAAAAGCAAATACTATTATATTTATTATTGGATTATTTAAGAGTGAGTTAAGGCATAGTATTTGAAAAGTTTTATCTGTTTTCTGTATATCTGTTGTAAACGTGATGTGAAAATGTGATTATAGGAGACAATAGTAGAATTGGTCGGTAAATGTTAAATACATGACAAACAGTATTCATTGGCCATAAAATTTATATTAACAAATAATTATCTAACTTTTTATCTAAAAATAATTTGTATTTATTATAAAATTCTAATTTATATGAAACTTTTATTTTGATTTAGATTCTATTGTTTAATATATTCATTTTAGTATATATTTACCCTCACAATACTGTAAAATATTTTCAGTATTTAAAAAATAAAATTCTAGATTTATAGCTGATATGCTTGAAATAAATATTGTATTATTTATTTTGTACATTATGCTAGATATTTTATGCGATTAACTATTCCATATGACTTGAAAACTATAATAAAATCTTATTTAATCTCGTTTTACAATAAAAACTTATTGCTAAAATCATTTCAAACATTTCTATTGAGTTTTTATTTTTGTAAAATTATAATTTATAACATTAGAGTTTATTATTAATTTGGTAATTATTTGTTTTTGTTTATTATATGAGAATATCCATCGCTGCTTTTATTACATTGGTCACATTTGTCATGAAAGTTATGAGGAAATAATTATCATTTATATTCAAAACAAATTATCACATTTTTGGATGGAATTCCTTATTTTTATTTAGGATTTCAGTCATATC